TATGAGTCGCAGGCGACTCGATGGCACATAACAACAAGAACAACAACAACACCTTTTGAATAGGCAGTGCAATTCCTTTACCACCAATGCTTCCTATATTTCTAGTATTTTTTTCATATTTGCATATTTTAATTTTCCCTTCTGAGTTGTTTCTTTTCCCCCCTACTAGTTTATTTACAAAATTTGAATATAAATTCAAACAAATTATTCTAATTTCCCTCATGCATCAAATTGAAGGACACAATGATTAAGGGTCCTCTCCTGCACATCCACATCCCTCTGCTTCCACCCTCTCCCACTCCTCGTAGACTTTTATATTCATTTTACAATAATGGCTTTATACAATATTTATCCTTATAGAACTGAGTTAGTTCACTCAGCATAACCCTTTCCAATCCCTCCCAAATTAGGTAATGATTTACAAAATCATTCATTGCTCCTGTGTGCTGTGTAGTATTCCATTGTGTGAATATATCATAATTTCTCAATCCATTCATTTGTAGTTGGACATCTGGGCTGTTTCCATGTTGTTTGTCTGTTAATTTAGTGAGTTGTGGGTGTTTACTGGGATTGAGTGTTAGTGAAGAAGGGGGGGGGAATCCCTTCATTCTCTGTCACTGAATCTTTGACATAATCTGTCTGCTCAGAAGTCTGAATCCACAGTGGTGGTGTTATTGTTATTGTTAGGTGCCATTGGGTTGAAGACTACTCACAGTGACACTATGAACAAAAGATCTGAACCCTGTTCTGTCCTGCTCCATCCTCACACTTCCTGAATCACAAGAGCCCATTGCAGGAGTCACCATGTCAATCCACCTGGTTGAGGATCTTCCTCTCATTGGCCGACACTCCAGCCTTCCCAGCATCATGTCCCTCTCCTAGGAAAAGCACCTCCTAGTAATATGTCCAAAGTATGAGAGAATCCATACTTAGCATTTCTGTTTCTTGTCCTAAGACTTTCATTATTAATTCTAGGAAACTAAACGTAATGTTAAAAAAGGATTGCAATATATTACCTGTGGGCTGAAGTCCAGTGTGTCCTGGAAAAGAGAAAGGAAGATGAATGTTTATAAGACACAGGACCAGATCTGTCCCCACACACCATGTGCTCAGTTTAGTCTCCCATCTGAGACGTCTCTGCTCTGAGGTGTAAGCTACAACATACAACACAGAGGAGATAGCAGAGTCTGAGAGGCAGCAGCCTGTGAAGACACTCAGAGTGTTTGCCTCAGTATTTTCTTCTTCATTTGCCCCAAGGTCTTTACTTCAAATTTCAGGGCACAGTAGCCTTTCGGGGGAAAAAAAACCAAACAAAGAATCTCTGACAGGTTATAATCACTGTTTTGACAGAAGAACTAGGGCTCTTCTTTCTGGATGTCGTGGAATTTGGGATTGACTAAAACACAAAAGCTCAATAAAAGGTCATTACTATATAGAAAACTAGCTTAGAGAAGCCATGATTCTCCTCAGAGAAATCTATGGGAAATCTCAGCCACCAACCCTTTCCTCACCTTTCTGATTTCTGAAGTGGATGAACAGCCCCGCCCCGAGGAAGAGCACCCCCAGAACGAAGCCCCCGATGCCACTCAGCATCTTGCTCTGGGCAGATCCAGATTGTGCTCCTAGGAGAAGAAGCCACATTCAGTGATTTGTTCCCAAATTCAACATCTTTAAATGGGATCCTGCGAGTCAGCACTATGAGGATGGGAAAGAAGTCAGCTGATGGGAAAGAAAGGTTTTAAAAATCACACTGCCCATCAACAAACGAATGGCTAGAGAAGCTGTGGTATATTCACACAATGGAATACTATGCTGCATTAAAAAA